TAGCGGCCTGCGCCTCGACTTTTCGTTTTAGATGTAAATCATGTTCTGCTTCAAATGCTCCTTTGTTTGATTTAATTAGGAGGTTATATTTGGTGCATTTGGAGCATTGGTCCTTCTTGGGATGATAAAATGACAAATTAAATTCATCACAGAATATATTTCTGTAAACTTTATCTCCTACAGGTTTCAAGGGAGGTTCGGCTGAAATACATTTCTCTTTATACAGACGGTACATTTTTGATATCGAAAGATTCGGATCAAGGTAGTAACGCTTTGAATCCCTGCGAGTGTAATGCGAAGCTATTCTCGGGAAACTATTAATATGATTTCTCACAAACTGTAAGCTATCAGTTTTAGTTTTATTTGATGGAGAACGTTTGCCACGATTATCTTCTACTTCAAATGTAGCTGATTCTGTTGCATGTTTAATTGCAGTCTTTATTGGTCCAAAACTGATGTTTAGTGTTGATAAGAAAAATTTCTTACATACACGTTTTTGTTGTAATTTTTCTGTTGACATTTTCGGAAATGAGTACAAAATTGACTGATTTCTGGCTCTTTTACGTTGGTTCTCTTGAACACGCACTCGCTGTACATTAAAGACCTCTATTCTTGACAGCAGATAATCCTTTTGTCTCTTATAGTCAGCTAAATCCCAATAAGCTTTACAAATTGCAGCTCGATCATCTTCATTGAAATCCATGTTGCATTTGTATCTGCAATTACAATTACAGGGTATGGGAGTTTTTTCTGGCATTAGTTTTCCAGCTGAATTGACATGTTTTTTTCCAGATAACTTCAACTTCTTTCTGACATTTCGTTTCCAGTTAGCGTGATTTGCCTGTCTTTTTCTGCTACCCTGAATGTTTTGTTTCCCTGTTACTTCATCTTGTGTGTTGTCTTGTTGTCCACCATCTTGGGTGTTGTCTTGTTGTCCATCATATTGTGTGTTGTCTTGTTGTCCATTATCGTGTGTGTTGTCTTGTTGTCCACCATCTTGGGTGTTGTCTTGTTGTCCATTATCGTGTGTGTTGTCTTGTCCACCATCCTGTGTGTTGTCTTGTTGTCCACCATCTTGTGTGTTGTCTTGTTGTCCATTATCTTGTGTGTTGTCTTGTTGTCCACCATCTTGTGTGGTGTCTTGTTGTCCATCATCTTGTGTGTTGTCTTGGTCATCATGTACATCATCTTGTGCCTTGTTATGTGAAGAAGATTTCTTTGTGGTAAAGAACTGATCATCAGAAGTATCATCACCATCGGAATCAGACGTTTTATAATCTGGATCATTATCAGTATCATCAAACTCGCTTTCCATATCCTCTAATAGTTCCAGCGCCTCCGTAGCATCTAGACATCGTCCTAAAACAAAATCAATAAAAAATTTCAACTTCCTTATTATTAATTGCGAAATATCAATATTGTAACATTTAATATAAATTAAAAGTGATCATGTTTTTGTCCTTGGTCGTAGGCCTACTTCAGCAAGAAATGGATATATCCATCAAGGGCTAAACTAAACTTTATGACGTACTTTTGGAATATCTTTATGTATTATATTACATTATTTTTGTATATAAGGTTACACTAGATAAATTAAGTGTCTCTTACCTCGTCTAGCATCCATTTTAACAGATCACAAAAGTGAAAACATCAATTTTATATCCTGTTCTGGTACATTACAAGGCAGTTTAGGCAGTGATTCAAGGGAAATAACTCTCAACATATAAGTGTTTTATCAGCAAGAACTGGACAAGTGGGATATATACATATCTTGCACTAATGTAGCGAAACAAAATGACAGCAAGAACTCTCTATCTGGAGATACGTTTTTTTGCTTGGAAAAAAAAATTAGTGGTTCTGTACTTAACAATATATGACTTCTCTGTTGCGTCATTATTTATAAAGAGAGGACTTAAATAATTTTTGCTGAGAAACTACACAAAATTTTGAACTGTTTGGTGTATTTAACTCATTTTTGGCAATTTTGGAGATAGACACTTCTGGCTTTCAGCCCTCGATATATACAATCTATTCAACTCGCCTTCTATTACCTGGGTTTCACTGTCATTATACTCTTACAATAAACAGGGGAAGGGGTGGGGGAGCTTTAGATAATAAGGTGTGCAATTCTATTTCCAGTTGTACATGGCAAGGAGTAGGGTCACCTGGTCAGCCTCGTGGGGTTTTCCAGGACCTCCCAGTTTCCTCCAACTGTTAAAGACCCATGCCATCAAGCGAATTATTGAAATTAAATTGAATTATATATCAGTGCCGAAATAATGCCCCTGTGTGTGTGTGGTGGGTGGGGGTGGAGGTGTGTGCGCGTGTGTGTGTCTCCCTCTTCTCCCCCCCCCCTCTCTCTCTCTCCATTATCAACCCGCATATCGCTTTTATATGAAAGCCGAAAAATACACCGTAGCCCCTTCGTGTCTAAGCGTCAACATGGTGTGCAAAATGGCTCTAATATCGCTTCGTCTATGTTGACTTTGCTACGAGTAAGTCAAGAAATAATCATTTCGAAGCCAAGAAGTCGAGCCACTTCTTTGCTTCGCCTTGTTCATTTCTTGCCTTCCTGGTCTCGCGAAAGGTATACGACTATAAAACGAATTATTATGCGTTAACATTGCCGTATAATTGGCTATATTGTTCAAGCTACATCGTTCTCCAGGAATTCTCTTGGCATCCATACCTTTACCATGTAACGAATGTTTAATGAACATAACACTAAGTGGCCGCTCAAACTCTGTTATAATTAACTTTTGTGATGTGTTTTGGGGAATATTGTACAAGTTGAGTCGACGTTTCATTCCTTGGTTATTGCAGATTAACGTACTTGGTAAAAATAATTTTAATAATTGGTGGTGTATTTTGGAGAGCAGACGTTAATACGATACCATTTCAGTCTTAAAGGGACAATAACACACTTGCTGGCTTGAAAGCTCCAGAAAATAAATAATATTTTTATCTAAGTACTAGATGTTTAAGTGTCCTACCTGTTGTGTAAATTATCCATTACATCCTATTTTACTTGTCCAGAGGGTTCGAAAAGATTTTTAAATCGAATTTCATTTGAAAAGGTTTACGTTAGACGTTTCAAACCATTATGTTGAATTTTTCAAAAATTTTAAATAAGGTGTGTCAAGATGAAAATTGTATCATCAATTAATTGAAATATTCTAAAAAAGTACAATTTGTTGACCAGAATAAAGATTGGGACATATTATTCAGTTACAACAAGAGTGGTATTGGGCTTTTAACGCTGATTGTCAAACAAAGGGATATAACTCCATTTTCGTAAGCCTTTAGGTAATGTTATGATTCAATATACACGTATAATATCAGATGCATAGGTATATACACAATTCCACACAGTTTTTATAAGAAAAAAAACGAAAGGGGGCGGGGGGGGGGGGTGCATTTCGGAACTTGGTCTATTTCAATATTTCGGTTACATGTAGGGAAATCGAAAACTTGTCACGAATCCGCACAGTCATTGAATTTAATCTGATGGCGCTCAAATTTAGTAAACTGTAGTCAAATTCGGGTTGGTAATGTAGTACAGACGTTCGACACTAATGCCTCCTGTAAGATGATCTTTTGGCTTTATCGGAAAACTAGTTCTGGGGCTATTTTCACGGAACTATATTGGACCATTTATTTACAGAGTTATTGCCTTTGACGTTGATTTGATGAAATAATTAAAAGATGCAGTATGTAAGATTTAGATAAAGAGATGACAGTTCTCGCTATAATATGTTAAAAACTAGATAATGAAAAGGGAATATCTCGAAGAATTCAGTCATATTACTTCATACTGAGCGACCTTGGGACTGTTTGGAGAATTATGGTTTAATTTTATTTCAATAATTCGCTTGCGCGTAGGGGTCCATAGCAGTGGGGGGAAACGGGAGGACCCGGAGAAAACCCACGAAGTTGGACAGGCAACCCTACTCCTTGTCACGTACGACCGGGGATTCGAAACCACGCCAGTTGACTCAATGACAGGCCTTATGATATAGCACGCACGTGCTAACCATTCGACCATCCAACCCCCTTGGAGAATAGAAGAGCCTCGGTTGTCATTGCTACTGTTGTTACACTAGTAAACACAGTCTCGTTTAAAACAAATGAAATGAAATGGGGTTTAACGTCCCATTTTTAAATGAAATCATTAACCGCTAATCGTGTTTAAATCCGTTGAAAATCTAACGCATCCGATCGCACCGAGAATTGATTATGGTCTTGGCTACTTAATAATGTCATATTAATAATTTATACTACAGTTAAGGCCTAAAGAAAGACCCACAATAGGCGAACTGGTTCTTACGTAATGCATCTTGAAAATTACTAGAATTTGTTTTTGAAACTCCAAATATTAAAATAAAATGCAAGCATGTTTGATCCTTTGTTTAAAACTTGACCGAGCTACAATTTCCTATTATCTTTAGAATAGTCTAATTTTAGAATTAAATTGGAGGTTCGCATCTACTAAACTCAGGCTAGGTTATTTCAGCAGGACAGTTTTATTCCTTTATTTCATGTTAGCGTTGAGTGTAATCCGATGGACGCAACAGTATAAACCCAAGTCTACTATTTTCCTGCGTAATTCGTCTTGTTAGTGTATACACTTAACATGCATGTAAAAGATTCCTTCTCAGTTGGAATTCGATATAAGAGTAGGCCGTAGCGCTGCTGTCCGGGACACATTTCCCACATAGCACATATGGTGTATGCCCGTCTTCATTAGCCCATTTCATTTCTCCCCTCCCAGCAAAACTAGATCATTTTCAAGTGTACGATAAAGGACAGCTGACGAGACCGACGACCGTCACAATGTATGAATGGTTAAATCTTACAAAATATACACATCGACTTTAGTGATTCATCAATTAAATATCAATTTCTTATATAGGTAGGTATTCTAATAATAACACAATTACCTGTAAGCTATGAATACAGATATTATAGTCTATAGAAATATACAAACAACCGATCAAAATACATTTCACTAGTCACATGATGTCAGCATAAACCAAATTAAATGGAGGTAACAAACATAGGTTTGAAAATGATGTTTTTAATTCACATGTTGATAATAATGGCTACGATGTCTACAAGCTACGGTAAGTGTATTCCATATTCTCTACAATTCCAGACCGATCTAATCATAAAGTGTCAGTAGACCGGGAAGTAATGGTGATCTGTCAGTGACATCTACTATTATTTGTACGTTGGGGGTTGGGTGGTCTAGTGGTCAAACGTGTGCGCGTGAAATCATCAAGCCTTTCATTGAGTCAAGTGGTGTGGTTTTGATTACCCGCTTGTACATGACAGGTAGAAGGGTAGGTGGGGTTTCTGTGGTTGAATTATTTAAATCAAATTGTATCATATGTTAGTCCAGAATTGACCTGGTTTGTTTCGAGTGGACGTTAAACCCCATAACACATACGTCAAAATACTATTGTTCTATATTGTCATGTGGATCTAATATAGGGAAGAGAGAAAGAGAGAGAGGGGGGGGGGGGAGAGATGACACACAAACAAACACACACACACACACACACACACAGGGCATTTCGGCAATATAGGGTTCAATTAATTTCATTATTTCGCATGATCGTGGGAGTCTTTAACAGTGGGAGGAAACTGAGAGGTCCTGGAAAACCCCACGAGGCTGACCAGGCGACCCTACTCCTTGCCATGTACACCTTATTATCTAAGGCCCCGCCCCCTTCCCCTGTTTATTGTAAGAGTATAATGACAGTGAAACCCAGGTAATAGAAGACGAGTTGAATGTATTGTATTTATTCTATATACAGTCGGTTAACTACTTGTCACCTGTATATTATAGTCGCGTGTCGTATAATACTAAACACTGCTAACTTTTACTGTTGAATATGTTGTAGGGGGTGGATGGGGTCACGATACGGAATAAATTAAACCACACAAGGATTCAGGTTTACAAAACGGTTTATTATCCAATAAAAACCCTGAAATTATACAATGTCCATATAAATAACTGAAATGAAATGAAATGAAATGGGGTTTAACGTCCTACTGTTCTGCTCCTATACTGGGCTAATGAAGACGGGCATACGCCATACAGTGTGCTATAAGGGAAATTTTGCCCGAGCAGCGGCACTATCGCCTACTCTTATATCGAATTCCAACTGCCAAGGGATCTTTTACGTGCATTCCAATGTATACACAGGACCTCGGTTTTTCGTATCATCCGAAGGACTAGACAGCTGTCCTTGTCAGGCCCTCCGTCCTGCATATAAAATCAATGCATTCATTAATATAATATAATACATATTAATAATAAAACCTCTAAATACTATTTTAAATTTTATATAAATATATATTTACTTAATCCATAGTATGAATAATTTAAAGGGAAACTACCCCCTGTTAATCAGTATGGAATATGCAGATAAACAGCAAGTTTCAAATCTTTGGATGATGACAAATACAAACAGTAACACCCACACACAGTTGGCGAAATAAGCAACGTAAAAGAAACTTTAACAGTTGTAATTCAACATAAGTGTAGGGCGTAGTGTCGATATCCGGGCACACTTTCCCTATAGCTCACTGTATGGCGTACGCCTGTCTTCATAGCCCAGTCGGTGCTAAACAATGGGACGTTAAACACCATTTCATCTAGTGTTGTGAACAATAAAGTATATTATAATATTTCAGCCGAAGAGTGCTTATCAACAAACAGTCTCGGTGAGTCTGGTTTAATTTTTTTCTTTTTCTTTTGGTTATGGCTAGGTTTGGGTTAGAGACTGAAGACGTTAACTGGTGAACTAATACCGTTTGCAGAACAGTTTTGTTAAAACACGTGACAGAATTATTATCATCATCTTCGCCGACGTCAGTAAAGTTTGATCCAAATTTAACAGAATCATTATTACCATTCCATAGCTTGTGTCGTGTGTTATTCTCATTCAGTGTCTATATCTGTGGTTGATAATACTGTAATAACTGATGACTGCATTTTTATACAATAGAATCGCCATCTCTTTCGTCATTTAGGTAATTTCAAGAAAAACAGTAAACAGCCAATACACTTACCTTTTCAGTTTCAATCCATTATCTAAATTTAGTTTCCCCACTGAAAAGAGCAGTAATCAATGAAATGAAATGAAATGAAATGGGGTTTAATGTCCTACTATTCTGCTCCTATGCTGGGCTAATGAAGACGGGCATACGCCATACAGTGTACTATGAGGGAAATTTTGCCCGGACAGCGGCACTATCGCCTACTCTTATATCTAATTCCAACTGCCAAGGGATCTTTTACGTGCATTCCAATGTATACACTGGACCTAGTTTTTTCGTCTCATCACTGACAAGGGGGAACCACGCCGGAAAATCTGGATGAACTTTCTCGGCCAATGCAGGGATCGAACACCCGACCACGTGATCCCCAGAGCAGTAATCGCCTTTTGGTGAATTAAGAACATTTCTCAGTGTGTCAAATACGTAATTGGAAAATATTTAAACATACATTATGCAAGAGCTAAATCTGCCTATTGCAGGTCTTTCTTTAGGCCTGAAATGTAATCTAAATTAATAATTAGACATTAATTAATCTATACAGACCATAATCAACTCTAGATGGCATCGCTAGCCTGCGATCTTTTGTTGATTGTGAGCCGATTTACTGCATAACTTTCCTTCACGATTTAACGATTAAATGGATAATCGAGACTATGCTGTTTATCGTACTGATTTTAGTAATGATGATCAAGGCTAGGCGGAAATTCAATCGCTTTGTTGTCGGTTCATAGTGGATCAATTTGAATGAAATTTTCAGCAAATTGCCTTTACATTATCTAGTTTTTAACTATTAAAGTGAGAATTGCCAACTCGTTATTGAATCTCCCATAATGTATCTTTAAGCGAAGCAATCAAACGAAACATTTATATTATTTTTCATTGATTAAATTTGATTATTTTTGCAGATGGTTCTGTTATGCTTAAAACAGATTGCGGATCTCTTGAAGCATCATCTCAAGATACAGAATCACAATCAATAGATTTTAAGTTACCAATATATATATCAGAAGTATCATTATATCCATCTTCAATAAGCAATGGCAACTCTGGTTCACTACCATATTCATTGTCACAGCACGCTACAACTTTACCAGTGGCAATGTCCACAGGGATATCAATTCAAATGAGTACACTACAGACAACTGACAGTTCATTAACATACAGCCCTGGTCCTGATCAGGTAGAAACACAAACACAAAACCTGATAGAATCTACAGCATTATCGTCCATAATAGAAGGACTACTATCATCAAGACATAATTCATCACCTATAGATTCAACTGTAATAGAGCGTTCTTCGTCCATATTGGTAGTAATATCATCATCTTCGCCGACGTCAGTAAAATTTGATCCAAAATTAAAAGAATCACTATCACCATCTTCTACATCTACGTCGACTCCATTACCAACTGGTATAAAAGAAACAGAGCAACATTCATCATCGATTATATCAGAAGTAAAAGAGTCATCATCGTCGATATCTGAAGTAATAGAGTCATCATCAACCATACCAGAAGTGACAGAGTCATCTTCAACCATACCGAGTGTAAACACGGTGTCAATACGGAATGTATTAGAAGTTATCAAGTCATCATCAACCATACCAGGAGTGATAGAGTCATCAACCATACCTGAAGAAGATACATCGCCAACACGGAATGTATTAGAAGTAATAATGTCTTCATCAACCATAACGGACGTAATAGAGTCGTCTTCAACCATACCGGTCGTAAAAGTGTTATCATCAACCATACCGGAAGAAGTAGACACGTCATCTGTGTCTTGGTCACCGATATTTGTGTCAACAGTAACGTCAACAACCGGACCATCATTACCTAGGTCGTATACATTAACCATGACAGTAAATACCACGCGTTTCGAACTAACGACAGCTAAGTCAACAGTATTGTCAACAACCGGGGCATCATTACCTATATCGGATACACCAACCATGACAGTAAATATGACGCGTTTCGAACTAACGACAGCTACTTTAACAGTATCGTCAACAACAGCTTTCTTACTAACAACAATCGCTATGTCAAATGTTTTAGTAACACACGGATCTGTATTACCACGGACTGCTTCACAAACCACCATACCAACAAGCGGAACTGTATTACCAATGACTGCTACACAAACCATCTTAGCAACAAGTGGACCGCTGTTAACCACTTCAACAGCATCGATAGATACCGCGCACTTTGTACCAATAGGGTATACCTCAACGATGTTACCACCAACAAAAGATACCCCAAAGCCTTCACCAACAGCAGGACCTTTATCAACAGTTATGCCAACTGTGTCTGCAACAACAATGCTATTGATATCATCGACAGATACGCCAAATTCTGTAGATGCAGTTCTTGTTGCCTCAACGACACCTACGCCAACAGCACTGACAGATACCACGCGTTTTATACCGACAGCTATGCCAGCGTCTGGATCAATAATGCCGTCAATTGCCGATACATCAACAGTGTCGCCAGATAAAGATCTTATTGTCCCAACGGCCCCCACGCCAGCATTCACATCGCCAACCGAATTATTAATGCCAATAACTACATTATCAGCGCCTTTATTACTAACTATAGCTTCGCCAACAACATCACAATCGATAGATATCCCAACCATGTCAGCTACAAGTGAATCTTTATCACCAATGATAGCAATACCAAAGCTGTCAGACACCAATGAGCCTATATTACTAACGACAGCCACGCTAACCGTCTCGTCGCTAACCGGACTTTTATCACCAACAGATTCAGTAACAGGCAGATCCACATTACTAACGATAGCCACGTCCACAATGTTATCACCAACCTCAAACATTTTAGAAACAAACGAAACAGTATTACCAATAATGATTACGTCTACATCTGCATCAACACCATCAACGGATACCAATGGTTTTGTACCAACAATATCTACGTCAACAGTACCGACCACACACGCATCATTGTTTGCAACCATAGATAAATTAACAATACTCACCCCTTCATCACCTATAGCAGCTACATCCGTAACATCGGCACCAAACGGAACGCTATTACCAGGTGCGTCAACCACGATAACAACAAGCGGAAATTTATCAACAACACCAACAGTCACTGTAGATACCAGTCGTTTTGTACTACCAATAGCTACGTTAACAACCCGATCTTTATTATTAACGACAGCGGCGTCGAGAGATTTAGCATCAAACGAAACTATCATACCAACGATTGTAACGTCAATCATGTTAGCATCAAGCCGTTATATACCACCGGCAGCCACGCCGACAGTTTCAGCAACAAGTGAACCAATATTACCAACGATTGTACCGTCAACCATGTTAGCAACAAGCCATTATGTACCACCGGTTGCCACGCCGACAGCAACAATATTACCAACGATTGTAACGTCAACCATGTTAGCATCAAGCCGTTATGCACCACCGGCAGCCACGCCGACAGCAACAAGTGAACCAATATTACCAACAACTGTAACGTCAACCATGTTAGCATCAAGCCGTTATGCACCACCGGCATCTACGCCGACAGTTTCAGCAACAAGCGAAACTATAATAGCAACGATTGTAACGTCAACCATGTTAGCAACAAGTGAACCCGTATCAACACCGGTAACCACACCAGCATCATCGGCAGATACCGTGCGTTTTGTAACAACAACAGTTGCGTCAACAGTGTCAGCACCAACTGATGTTGTATTATCACCAATTGCTACACTAAATGTATCAGTCACAGCCGGGTCATTATCACACGCCATGGCTATGTCAACAGTGCCTGGGTCACTCGAGTCAGTATTACCAACGCAATATACCCCGTCTGTCTCTACAGATACAGTATCAATGATACCTACACCTTCAACATTGGACTCAAATCCCACGATAATCAGTTCGTCGACCAAACCTCCCAATTCAATAAATCCCACGCCGTCTACAACAGCATTAATGTCAAGCCAAACAATAGAATCAGAGTCCACAATAATCAGTTCATCGACTGAGACCATGTTGAACGCTACCAAACCTGAAGCAAGAACCGGAGGTTCTTTTTTATCTACATCAGGTACGGTAAACACACATGGTTTTTGTAATGAAGTGAATTAAGGTTCTACTTTCTTTCAGTCAATTATTTCGGGACACAAATATATGTATTATTTCAAAGAAAATAGCCCAAATCCCATATTTCAGAGGTGGCCATATGAATCCAAAATTACGGCAGAAAATGGGGTCAGATCGAATGTGTGCCGTTCTTATTCGAAAGCGTGGCCATATGAATCCAAAATTACGGCAGAAAATGGGGTCAGATCGAATGTGTGCCGTTCTTATTCGAAAGCGTACAACAAAAACTACCTGTTTGCCAATTTTCATGTTTTTGTTAAAAAGTGAAGGATTATTGACCTAAGCGCCTTGACAATATTATTCAAAATCACTAGTCTGTTATTCGATTAGGAATGCTTGGAAGAAATATAAGATTTCTATAAATGCCAGATAGAATCGAATGAAATATTAAAGAAATGAATGAAAGTCGACCAATTCAGGGTTTCCTCAGCATTAAATTATATTCTAGCCGTTTCTGTTATGCAAGTCATAATTGCCATTTGGCTTACGATATACGTTACTTACTTTTGTTTAAAAGTGTATTAGATGTCTTTTTTGACTGTGTTCTTGTTATTTTTCACAGTTATTGCCATCATCTGTGGAGTTATTGGAGCAGTTACCGTTTTAATTATCATCATTATTCTTATTATATGGTAAGTCTGCTATTCTATAAAGGAAAGATTGTCTTGGGATTCACAATCTAATTTGTTTTCGGTTTTCGGTTTAAATATATTTTATCATATGGCTCTGTAGAATACAATGACAACTTGTGACAATGCTAACTTTACATACGATTTAGACACTATATATTCCAATTGCAACGTTATTAAAAATTCGAGGGAAACATCGGTAGTTGTTAGAAATGAAATGGTGTTTAACGTCCTTCTATTCTGCACCAACTGTCAAATGATGACAGACATACGCCATACAGTGTCCTGGGAGCGAAATTACTCTTTTCATCGGCAATTTTGTCGCCGCATATCTTGGCATCAGTCTTAGATCACTGTAGAAATCATCCTTTGTATCATAATCGCAAACGTGTTGGTTATTCTTTAATTCCTATATTTTGATACATATATTGGCACACACGCCTTCCCTCTTATTTCGTGCAGTTTTGTGAAGCGACGGAAACGTTGTGATTATCTACGAACGTTAGCAAACGTAGCTACCGAAAGTGATCAAACCTATAGTCTCAAAGAGACCAACCTGTTTATCCACCTATTTTCTCCCTCTTCTATTTTACAGCTTATTGAAACGACGGAAACGAAAAGGATTATATACTCGTGACTCGATATTCTTATTTAACAACGAGCCTCGCTTTAGCATTCCATCCGTGCCAATGAACGATGAACCCTACATAAGTTCACCAATACCTATCAACAACAATGAACTTGAAGCAGAAACTGATATTGATAATAAATCCACCATGCCTTCGGGCGATGGTCAAAATGGTAGGCCTATGTCTACTTTTGGTAGAAAATCCGCACATATAAAAGAGGATATCACAACAGAAGTTCCTGCCGTGACTGAAGGTGATCAACAGAAACCAGCCCCCGACCTAGAGCAATCGGAACCAAGCGTCAATGGCTTTCCCCCTTCAGATACTAATGATTTAATTGACTTATTTTCTGAACCGGATTTGTTAAGTCCCTATGATAGCCCTTGGATTGATCAGGATGTGTTTTCCGTTCCACCTGACACGAACGATCCAGATACCAATGTTACTGATCAAAATGAGATATATGTGTAATACTAGCGGGTGATCTGGTGCTGCATGGGCTGAAACTAGTAGTATAGATTATAGGCTAAGTTAACAACACAGATGTCTCTAAAAACTTTACACATAATCAACCAGTCTTGCCGCTTAAAGTACGCCCAAATGTTGTCCCGTTCTTGTGCTACTTCGAGAATCGTTTACTTGTATATTTAGATACGAGATTTACCTATCTTCTTGCTGCTCCGACCACACTGTTCTGGTCGTTATTTTCTCTTGTGTCTTTGGTGCGGCGGGATCTACTAGAAACATGAATCCATCGGTTTAACGTCCACGTCCACCTTTGGGGATATCACAGCGATTTCTATTATGAGTGTCATTATATACTTTTCAAAAAAAGTAGGGGATATTCCGAAACAATACAAAACTGCGGAAATGCATTGCTGTTTTTATTAGAAGTAACCAGTATATGTTCATATGGGCGGCTTATCTCACAGCGCCATTTCACTCGCAAAGAGTTACACCGTCAAAAGTGAAAATGAACGTGTTTGATTTTTGTCTTAATATTGAGTAATTGCCCACCAAACCTCAGACATTCAGCACTTCGTCGTGGCATGCCCCAAATCACCCCCCCCCCCCATCACGATTTGGGGCAATCTGACTCACCCCCTTGCAGTGCCAGGGCCTATTCTTACAATGTTGTCGGTTGACGTCCACGAACACATCTCCCGATCAAATTAAACGTGACACACTAAAGCAGAGATACGCTAAACAGTAAATCTTATGCAAGAACCGATAGGAAAGCAAGCATGGATAGATAAACCAGCACGCGGCAGTTTTCATCAACCCTTCCTTTAAGTGACAAATTTGACAATGAACCCCTCCCACGTGTATGACGCTATTGTGTGTCGCATGTGCAGCTCAGTGGTTCTGTTGGGGCGATAAATTCTTCATCTGTGAACATACTCTCAAAGCATGTCAAGTGTCCATGACTATTTATCATATCACAACCTGCATAGGTATTTCCATTTCAATATCCCCTACTTTTTTGAAGAGTATATATACATTCCCTGGAAACGAGTTTTTATTATCGACATTTCTACTTTGGTTAAATAAAAACAAAGTGCTAAATCTACACAATGCACAACGTGCTCTAGAAAACACATTGACCTTGATAATTTTGTGCATTATCGAATTATATTCAGTCATCGTTTAAAGCATCCATTTTCATTATCACTTCACTTAGGCTGCTGTTTTCATCTGTTGCATAATATACCGAATTTGTTGCTTTGTAAATTATGAATTGCTACTGTTATACTGTTATTGTAAAAATACACTGTAAAAAAATATATACATCGAAATGAAATGAAATGAAATGGAGTTTAACGTCCTACTGTTCTGCTCCGAGCTGGGCTAATGAAGGCGGGCATACCCCATACAGTTTGCTATGAGGGACATTTTGCCCGGGCAGCGGCACTACGGCGTACTCTTATATCGAATTCCAACTGTCAAGGGATGAACCTTCTCGGCCAACGCAGGGATCGAAGACCTGACCTCCAGGCTAGTGAGCCAGCGTCTTACCCACTTAGCTACCGTGACCCCCACCCCATATGAATCGAGTTATTTGATAAGTGTATATAGCATGGGAGAGAGAGAGAGAGAGAGAGAGATTAGCGTCCACAAACTAGGTTATTTTGGGACTAACACAGTTCAATTTCAATTCAATAATAGGGGTATTTTGCTATGGGAGGAATCCAAGGTCAAAGGAGACTAACGTCTTGTTACGTAGCAGTGGGGAATCGAAACCACGCCACTTGACTCAATGACAATCCTTATGATACAACGCGCACGCGTTAACCATTCGGTCTACCAACCTACGTATATAGAATTACAACGCCCTGCGCGTGATATAAAATATAATGTTAAGGTCCCGGTGTGACATTTTGCCATTTTAGAGGATCGCCTTGCAAACTACAGTATTGTGAATGATGAATCTGTAACAGGGCTATCACAGTCCAGAAATGGTTCAATTCCATTCAGTATTTATAAGAATATGTGGAACTGAAATCCAATCGATCTATACGACTTCACAATGTAATAAACCTGCCGTCATTTTCCTATCCGCAAAACTTTATCGATTTGTAGGCCCTTTTTTCTTAAAAAAAAATCCGATTGAATCCAGCCCAGGACATTATTTAGTGATAGTATTGTGTTTCGTAATTACATGCTAAATAATCAATCTGAGTACAACTATGCCTCGAGAGTAGTTTACCCGAAACATATAGGATGTTTATCAAGAAATCTGACATCTATTGTGTCGCGGAAAGCTGAATATATTTACTACCAGCGGGTCCTCCGGTTTCCTCCCACTGCTACAGACCCCACGCACAAGCGAATTATGGAAATAAAATTGAACACCATATGTTAATCCCGAAATGACCTAGTTTGTGTCGAGTGGACGTTACCCCCTCCCCTCTCTCTCTCTCTCTCTCTCTCTCTCTCTCTCTCCATGAACCAGAAGTAACATAACTCCGAATACGTAAGTGGTAGTCTATCGCAACCAGGCATATGTTACTCCTGCTACTCCGCGGTAGGAGCTAACCCTATACACCAAATTTGAAATCTATCAAATCTGTGATACTTTCTAGTGGGATAAAATAAAAAAAATTAACAAAGCTGAATATGCGTGCGCGTTGTATCATAATTTCTGCAATTCAGTCAACTGGCGTGGTTTCGATTCCCTGGTTGTACGTGACGAGGAGTAGGATCGCATGTCGGGTTTCCTCCATATCCACCGGATTCCTCCCACAGCAAAAGCCCCATACTAGAAATAAAATTGATTTTATGTCTTAAATATTGACCGAATTTTAACCGCGAGGATTAATCAACTATTTTTAGTTGCTAGTTTTTAGATCTTATAACGCCCAAACAGGCCTTCGGTCTTTTCTTGTTTGAGAGAATAGAAATTAATTGCTTGATTTTAATTAAAATGCATAATAACGTCACGGATGAGCTTATATAGCGGCATAACTATTATTGTCTTTACGCCAGTCCGTCGTTGACAGCGTTTGCTGCAATGATCCATGGATTTGGGTTACCAGTATCTATTTCAATAAACTGAAGAATCCTACTGATGTTCAGCGACTGCTGATTGCCTTTCAGCATGATTCAAGTCAAATGAATTCATAAAATATTAATATCGAAATGAAATTTTCCCAGTTATTTAAATTTTTTGTGATTTCATCAGCCAGTGTTTTGTCGTCTCTATGAATAAATGTTTCACTATACTGACTTGAAACAGGGGCCGGGAATGACCCCATATTTAACATTGAACAGGCCATCCTGAAGGACCTAACTATAGCTTCTTATTATCGGTTGACATCGGGTTATCATTTTCAATTTATTCATGGTCATATCGTCCAGAGTGTTTATATTGAATATCAGTCTTATTTCAGATCCGAGAAAAATGGGAATATCACCCAAATCACCAGGGCACATTTGAAGAGATCTAAAGCAATGGGTCATGTGTGCACCCCCTCCCCCCTCGGGCTCGAGGAAATTGGAGAGGTGTAAAACTTCTGCTGTTGTGTAACAAGTGTGGTGTTTACCTAAATACGTTAATCTCCAATTATCAAATTGCACGATTTTCACTTCGGTATTATCCCACTGCTTCTATATGCCGTGGTCAATTTCTTGTAGCAGTTGGGAATTTACCCTACTAGTTACTATACTAAAACTGCCCTGGAAATCACCCATTATCTAGCATTGGATCATCTGTAATATGTTGTTTGCAGTAACATTAATCAATTACGTAGATAATATTTCGACATTAATTGAGCGGCACAGACTGCTTTATAGAAATTAACCCGGGTAGATCATTCAACTACATCACCATACACGATGAATTGAACTGACAACTAGAGTAGGCGATGGAGAAATTAAGTTTATTATTTAAAGTAACAATAGCTTATAACATAATTACAAAAAGAAATATAAACGTAAATAATAGCATTAAACAAACACACAAGTTAGGAAATAATAGTTTATATGATAAAAGACATGTTTGTTGATATAAATATTAATGAGATAATCCTGGGTAATTGTGACACGGTAACATCAACTTAAAGATCAGAAACATAAAAAAAATGTCACGAATTTAAACAAATATCTTTTAAAGTTTGTAGTAAGCATATACCTGTTATTAATGAAGAGGGACACCACTTGTACGAAACGTTTACACTAATAAATTTGTTTATTACTACCATGGAGTTCGTCTAATTTTCAATGGTTAAAAGGGTTGCTTCTCAACTTTTATCTGTGATTTATTTTAATTCATGTCCTCTGATAGATTTTGATAGGGACTGAGTTGTTGATATGTATTTGGTTGTTGATCCATAGTTTGTTTATCCAGTTCCGCATATGGTGATGCTTCTGTTGTTGATGTGTTTATATAGTCTGGATTAACTGTATCTCTAGTATTTGTTGCATCATTATCAACTCGGTCATAAACTACAGGCGTATCAGACAAGGGGATGTTATCTAACCCTGTACCGTGGCTGGTTGTATCTTTAGGGCATGTCTGGTCATTAACTGCAAAGAGATATAAAGATGTTCATGGGAAACTGCGAAAATAGTTTGTACAATGAAGGTTGTAACGGGGTGAATTTAATACTTAACAAATTATTCCTTACTCTGGATTGAAATACAGAACTGAATCATTTTTAAGACATTGCCCAATGACCGCTACTTATTAATCCATTTTATAACCCTAACAGTAAATCTAACCCTTATTTTTATGTCGTAACGATGACATCAATTAACGACAAACTCTACCACCCTCGCACTAGCTTGGGAATCTTGATATATAAAAGGTATAACACTTCAGAATTTACTTTCCCTCCCTAATTCCTAATCTTAGAAATGATAAAACCAAGTTATTACCTGTTACGTTTTTCAAAGAAATTTTCTTTCCACATTTCTTCAAGATGAACCAGAGTAAAACGGCAGTGATACCCAAAACGAGAAGACAGATACCCAATCCAATAGCTATACCAATGCCACGTGCTCTAGAAATGGCGTCATTATGATCTAACTGATTCGCGTTATCTCGCGACGTTACTACTAGGTTAAATAGAGTAGATCTGGTACCAATGCTATTATTAACATAAACTATATATTTCCCGTCATCATCTTCTGTAACATCTTGTATAGTTAATGTTGATGATAGACCATCATCTTTTTGTCTAATTCTAAAATCTGTTATGGGTTGTAGTTGATAATACCATGTATATACAGGTAGTGGATAAGCTAAAACATGGATTGATAATACACCCGTCTCTCCAAGTCCTATAGATATAGTAGTTTTAGTTACTTGGTTAGGATCCAGAACAGGCACACCTGAAATGAAGCACAATAATGTCAGTCCATATTTAAATTTAACCCATTACGTTCCCTGGTTAGTCCCGCCAACTGTAATATGAAACTAAACAGCAGATTAGGCGGGTTTCATTAGGTGAATTTTGTTCCTAAACGAAGTACATGTATTTTAATGAGTCATGGCTCCTGTAATATGAAAATATCTAGTGAATCATATTTGGGAGAAAATTGACTTAGACCCATATTTGGACTAACTGGGTTTATCTCCTTCGGTTAAAGATGTTAAAGCGTATGAAACTTGTCACAGTTGGCAGTTTTGCAGTTGAAAGAACCTACTATGTCATATAAGTATACTGATTTGCATTCAACAGACTTGGAAGGTTTTCCAGATTACAGGGGACTGGAAACCGATCGGCAGGGTTGGAATTCGCCGACCAAATTTTAAACGTTTATGGTCTGGAGCGATTTGTTTGACGTATGTACGTATGTCATTCATCAGTGGTCACTAGATACGCCATTCAGTACCAAATTGTTTTCAGTAATTTTATTTGGATTCATTCTTCAAAACAGCAATGAACCCATATAACAAGTACGATCAAGTATATAGTAGGTATATTTCCTCAAATATACTATAGGATACAGCAATTTTCAAACAATTCAAAGTCTGTTAAACCATTCACAAAAAAAAGTTCTCGTACCCCAGAAAAGGAAAACCGAAAGGAAACGAAATGAAATGGAGTTTAACGTCCTACTTTTCTGCATTGACTGGGCTGATGAAAACGGGCATACGCCATACAGTGTGCTATGAGTAAATATTTTCCTGCTAGACAGCGGCGCTACGGCCTGCTTTTATTTCGAATTCCAAAGGTCAAGGCTTCGTGTATGTGCACCAGAATGTGTACACGGTACCTCGTGTCTTGTGCCACCCGAACGATTAGACACTACTGTTCCTTGTCAGACCCTCCGTCCAGCAACACTGACAGAGGGAAGCCGCACCAGAAATACCTACATAGATCATCAGGATAGTTTATCACGTACTTACATCTAACATAGATTGGAATAGTTTTAGATACAGGTTGACCAATCTTATTACTAGCTGTACAGGTATAGTTATCTGTATGTTGACAACTAGCTTTAGGTATGGTATATTGAGTACCAGAATAGAGTTGTTCCCCTTGTTGTGATCTAGACCAGGATATTACAGAAGATGGAAGACTGTAAACAGAACAGACGAAGGTTACAGTAGAATATTCATCTACCATGTTGTTGGTTGCATCTGATGTTAGACTCGTAATGGTTGGTGGATCTGAAATTAATTTAATCTGTTGAAATAGTGATATATATTTTATCTCTCCTAGCAATTCATTTCATTTGATATCATTTTCCGAAACAATAATTGTTGCCAACTAAACTAATATTTGTCATTTTATATGGTACACATTATTTTCATTACATGTTGTGTGCGCAGATGGGTTTAGATAATAGCATACTGGGGCTGAAATAGTAACAGGACTATGGATACTTTTTAACTTAGGTTGTACTATATATATATATGTGCTGTATAGATGGACTTAAAACAGTTACTATATATGTCATGGATAAATACTATGAACACATACTATGAACATTAGTTTCTGATGTCATATAAACTTAATGACCAGTAAGATCAGTGTATTGTAATCATATAGACGTATATAAGCTTGAACGTTATCAACTTACACTGTACTATAACCATCAGTTGTTTAGATTGAAGTGAACCAGGTATCTGTGTATTAGTAACATGGCATGTGTAATTACCATCTTGTTGACTGTTGTTCAGTGAGAGAAGTTCAGTAGATGATATTATAGTTGAACCTTTATACCAGTTGATATTACACGGTGGTGGATTACATTCAGCTGAACAGATTACATTTCTACTTTCATTTTCTATCAATGTTAAACTAGAACTGGTTGGTGTAAATCTGATATTCTCTGGTCCATCTGTTAAAATACAAAAATTATTGGAATGATAAAGATGATTTATCATTATGATTGTGGGATTGTTTTTTGTTTTAAAAATGTGGCATAAATAGAACCACGGGTCTCCATTTCCAATTACCATTCGTGTTTTCGTGATACATCTGTTGTCATATAGGGATGCATGTAAGGCCTATCAACAGCATGCATGTGTATTACGTAAATACATATATCCGACATTTGTTATCTGTATGGATTAGGTTATAACTAATGCTTAAAATAAACTGTTATCTGTAGTGAGTAGGGTAATACTTTAATGGTGATTAGGGTTATATTTACAATAAACTGTTATCTATAGTGAGTAGGGTAATACTTACAATAAACTGTTATCTATAGTGAGCAGGGTAATACTTACAATGAACTGTTATCTGTAGTGTTTTAGTGAGTGAGATTGTTGTTAAGGTTCTGTGTTTAGCTTGGCATGTATAAACTGTATCTTGTCTCTGGATGTTGTTTAGTTGTAGAAGACCATTACTAGATGATATTAAACTACCACTAGTATCAGCTCCTTTATACCATCTGATATTACACGGTGGATTACAGTCAGCTAAACAGGTCACAGTTCTACTTTCATTTTCTATCACTGTTATATTAGAACTAGTTGGTGTAAATCTCATATTCTCTGGTCCATCTGTTAAAATAGATAAAATAAATTTAAACTGACAATTACAATTTTTTATACATTTCGATGTAGACGTAGCCCTGTCTGGACAATTTGTGGACACTTTAGACGTCACAGGTGCTTTCTGATTTTGATAACAAAAACACTTAAAATTGCCCCTCCCCCATCCATTTACGCAAACAGCAGCAGAGCGTGTAGTTCATACACCAAAATTGTGAACCCTCTAGAAACTTAAAATATATGTTATGTATCAAAAGATCTAGGATAAATGTGATTGTGATGCGCATGTGACCGTAACTTCCGGGGTTATGACGGATATGGTTTCTTCCTTTTACGCCAAGAGTTAACAAAGTTTGTCTAGTGTGATCAATTTTGAATACGACAGCATGGAATACATCGATTTTCATAGTACTCTATTATCCGGTCTTCCCGTCATAGATAACACCTACTGATAATCATGTGTGTTGCATTGGGCCCATGATATAACAATTTTTAGCTTTCCACAACTCCCATAACTGGGACTCTTCTTTGACCAAAGAGATTCATTTCAAATTTGGTGGAAGACGAATCTTTTTCAAATACCTTATGAATACAAGAAGAACCAATCTGACTTCAACAAGAGTTAAACATCTTTCGTCCCCACATTTGGAAACAATAGTTTTGGGTTCTTTTGGGTTGTTGATCACATTTTATTGTTCATAATATATTTAAGGTTTTCACTTTTGAATAACTGTGATAAATGTGATTTAATTATGTTCATATGCCGTTCCTTGAGAAGGATTATGTGTTGTAAAATTTCATACTGTTTACCTAAAACTTTAGTTTTTTATTTAAATTTCCTGATCTATTTTAAGGATTGGTATTTTCTACTTAATGTTTAAGAATATATATATACATGTATTGCCATATTCTATTAAACCAGTAGGATAGTTTTGATTTCGAAGGATTTGTTTCAATTCTTGTAATCTTATCAGTTTTTTCTTATCACATGATACGATTGTACAAATTCTCCTAGAAAGATTAAATGGGATGTTTCTTTTTGTATGTGAAGGGTGACATGAATTGAAATCTAAATACTGGTGCGTGTCAGTAGTTTTATAATATAGATTCGTTGTAATGTCATCATTTTCAAATAATGTTAACGTTACATCTAAAACGTTAATTGATTTAAAGTTGTATTTATTATAAAAGGACTACACTATATTCCGGGAAACACCATGTTATACTGAATACCGGAAAACACCGGAAAACACTAAATACGGGAAAATACACTAAATACCTTATAAAATTGAAACTTTCATTTAGTGAGATTAACACTTAATAAAACATTATCAAATATATGATAAAACAATCATCTAAGAAACGTTTCCATGAATGTTGAATCTGTAATTTTAATTCCAAACCGAAACGTTCTCCGATATTGGCATACCACAAATTTCTTCAAGGTAGCTTGGCGTTAAAGTCGCGTATGTTGAGCCTATAAGAAACGTTCTCCAATATTGGCGTACCAAATGTCTTTAATATGCCCAACATATTTGTAAATATTATTATGTTGTATCTGATACATGTATATTTATAGGAACACCATGACGTTGCGTCTATTGTTATACGTAATCTCTCATAAATAAAAATGGCCTGAAGATGTTCAGTACGAATAGAAAGCGCTAGCCGTTAAATTAATAGTTTTTAATATAGTTTATTTATATATATATTATTTAAAACATCAGCTTACAATAAACAGGAAAAGTTACGGGTATACTAGTGCCAGTATTAAAGGTATCTCCACAGGTCCAGTCACCAGCATCAGTTGATTGAACATTAGTTATATTAAGATACAGTTGGCTGGTGTTACCATTGATACAACCACAAGTATATCGACTTGATGGTGGACCAGCTAAACAATTTAATACTTGTCTACAGATTGACATACTGCCTCTGTTAAATTGGATAGCATCATTCTTTCCCAAATTACCACCAGTTATTTGACATGTAAATCTGTAATCCCCTCCTCTAATACCATATGATGCTGATCCTGATAAACTGTATGTTTGACCTGTAACAGAAGTAAGAGACGTGTAAATCTATAATCCCCTCCTTTAATACCATATGATGCTGATCCTGATAAACTGTATGTTTGACCTGTAACAGAAGTAAGAGACATGTAAATGTATAATCCCCTCCTCTAATACCATATGATGTTGATCCTGATAATCTGTATGTTTGACCTGTAACAGAAGTAAGAGACATGTAAATCTATAATCGCCTCCTCTAATACCATATGATGCTGATCCTGATAATCTGTATGTTTGACCTGTAACAGAAGTAAGAGACATGTAAATCTATAATCGCCTCCTCTAATACCATATGATGCTGATCCTGATAATCTGTATGTTTGACCTGTAACAGAAGTAAGAGACATGTAAATCTATAATCGCCTCATCTAATACCATATGATGCTGATCCTGATAATCTGTATGATTGACCTGTAACAGAAGTAAGAGACATGTAAATCTATAATCGCCTCCTCTAATACCATATGATGCTGATCCTGATAATCTGTATGTTTCACCTGTAAATATTATAAAAGAATCAGGGCGGATCTAATCCATATCTATCGGTACGTATATTACCACCAGATATCTGACATTAACAACCGTGTACACATTGGCGTGCACGTAAAAGATCCCTTGACAGTTGGAATTCGCTATAAGATTAGGCCGTAGTGCGGCTGTCCAGGCAAATGTTCCCTCATAGCACACTATACGGCGTATGCCCGTCTTCATTAGCCAAGTTCGGAGCAAAACAGTATGACGTTAAACCCCATTTCATTTCATTTTATTATACTGGTAGTCATAAGTCAATCTTAGACTCGGGATTCAAGCCACTGATGGTAGTATAAATTATTCAAAAATGATTTCTCCGTATCTGAATTCACATTATTTATGTTGATTTTTAACTTTAACATCAGATAGTAGTGAATGTTAATCTGTTTACGGAAGGTTTGTGCTACGCACAGGCGCGACGTTCATTTGGGGTTCTAAATAATATTGGGGCTATTTGCCACATGTGGTTAGACAATCCGGAGACTATTTGCCACATGTGGCAAGTCTCCGTACCGTAATTATCAACCGTGCCATATGAAATGTGTGGTGACCTGATATCTCAGAAACCGCTAACCGGAAGTGGTCGAAATTTTGGCTACTTTGAGATATTATTAATGTTATCATATTCTGTAAGTTTCATGGGAATCGGTTGATAATTGTGATCTGTAGCGTGCCACATGAAATGTATGGTAACCTGATATCTTGGAAACCGCTAACCGGAAGTGGCCGAAACTTTGCCTACTCTGAGATATTAGTAATGTCATTATAATCTGCAAGTGTCATTGAAATCGGTTGGTAGTTGCGTTCTGTAGCCGTGCCACATGAAATGAGTGGTAACCTTATATCTCGGAAACCGCTAATCGGAAGGGTCGAAATTTTGCCTACTCTGAGATATTATTAATGTTATCATATTCGGTAAGTTTCATGGAAATTGGTTGATAATTGTGTTTTGAGCTGTGCCACATGAAATGTGTGGTAACCTGATATCTCGGAAACCGCTAACCCGAAGTGGTCGAAATGTTGCCTACTTTGAGATATTAGTATTGTTATCATATTCTGTAAGTTTCATGGATATCGGTTGATAATTGTGGTCTGTAGCCGTGCCACATGAAATGTGTGGTAACCTGATATCTCCGAAAGCGCTAACCGGAAGTGGTCGAAATTTTGCCTACTCTGAGATATTATTAATGTTATTATAATCTGCAAGTTTCATTGAAATCGGTTGGTAATTGCGGTCTGTAGCCGTGCCACATGAAATCTGTGGTAACCTGATATCTCGGAAACCGCTGAACGGAAGTGGTCGAAATTTTGGCTACTCTGAGATATTATTAAGGTTATCATATTCTGTAAGTTTCATGGATATCGGTTCATAATTGCGGTCTGTAGCCGTGCCATATGAAATGTGTGGTAACCCCCATATCTCGGAAGCCGCCTACCGGAAGTGGCCGAAAGTTTGGCTACTCAGAGATATTATCAATGTTATCATAATGTGCAAGTTTCATTAAAATCGGGTAACAATTGCGGTCTGTAGTCGTAAGGCTATTTTGAAATTCTTGCTTACCACATGTGGCAAATAGTCACTGCCAATAATATTTCCATATTGGGATCGTTAAACCACAGTTATCATATTGTGCTGATTCTACTTTAAGAGTTTGGTCAGATAATTTAAACCTGTTATTTCTGCAACCAAAGCTAAATTAGGCCATTTACTTTATTTGTTTGATTATCGTATATCTGTTTAATGTACTATATAGCAAGACAATTGTCAAGATTCTCTCACATTATTATTAGATATGAACTAAAACACTTGACTGTATGTTGATCATCATAATATAATACAGGATTACGGTGTATATTATACATAGAAACATTTGTAGTATTTGTATGTAATATAATGTATAATCTACTGATAGTATATTGTTGTTTTGAGGGGGCGGATGACCGAATGATTAGCGCATTGTATCATAAGGTCTGTCATTGAGTCAGCTAACGTTGTTCCGATACCCCGGTTTTACGTGACCAGGAGTGCAGTAGCCTGTCCAACCTTGTGGGTTTTCTCCGCGTCCTCCTATTTCCTCCCACAGTGACTGCTAAAGACCCCTATGTGCAAGCGAATAATTGAAATAAAATTGAACCATGTGTTATTCCCGAAATGACCTAGTTTGTGTCGAGTGTACGTTAAACTCCATGCCCCCCTCCCCCATATCTGTTGTTTTTATTAACATATGGGATGTCAGTTTCTGTCTGTTTAGCTATCGTGAATAGAAATTAGCACGATTGTCGGTATTAGATGGTCTTCACACCCAGCAGAGATTCATCGATGTCTATAAAAGTATATTATAATGTTAATATAAAATAGAGATCAATCTACCTTGTATATATCTTACAGCCAGTAACATAACTATAATATAATAATACATGTATCTATCCATGGTCGACATTTTACTTGTTTTATATATAGACCAGGAAGGTTTTAATGGGGTGACTAACTGTTGTATCAGTTTTATATTATTGTTGTATAAGGTTTATATGAATAGGCAGTTATTGTGCATATGTATGTAAAGCCAGTGACCTATCTATAATATTGTAATGCAGCAATCTACTGGCCGATATGTTGCTCTTATTATGGGGATATAGACCATGAAAGTTACTCTTCGTGTATGAACAACCAATATATTGATATGGTTGAGTAGATATTGTGTAATACATATATATACACGAGGAGGAGAGGGGGCGTTATTAGTAGTAATAGAGGTGGTGGTGAAATAGGGTTTAACGTCCTACTTGGGAGAGAGAGAGAAATGGGGTTTAACGTCCACTCGACACAAACTAGGTCATTTCGGGACTAACATATGGTTTAACTTTGGTTCAACAATTCGCTTGCGCGTAGGGGTATTTAGCAGTGGGAGGAAACCGGAGGACCCGGAGAAAACCCACGAGGTTGGACAGGCGACCCTACTCCTTGTCACGTACAACCGGGGATTCGAAACCACGCCAGTCGACTCAATGACAGACTTTATGATACAGCGCGCGCACGCTAACCATTCAGCCATCCAACCCCCCATGTCCTACTTGGGTCAAGTTGATAACGCTTATTTCGTATTTCACCTGCCAAGGTTTCGTTTACTTGCACACGGGACCTGGGTTTGTCGTGCCATCCGAACGATTAGACACTATTACATGCCAGGACTCCCCACCCCCGCCCAAACTGACAAGAGGAAAACTACACCACAAAATCCGGGGTAATTTTCTCAATTTAGATATTCGATACCCGACATGATTCGGGAAATAACTTGATAGAGTTCAAATGGGTAGCTTGTTTCCCCTCGGGCAATCATTGAACTCGCTCAACTTGCCGTAAGTGCGCGAGACGGTAGGTGGTGTTCATGTTTTAAACTAGCATTGAATCGCGCCTTTACCTGTAGTATACTGCGACGAGTGGGGCTGGCTGACGACTTACCTCCGAACAATCACTTTATAATCCACCCTCCCTTTATATCTAAATTTGTGTTTAATTTTAGTGTGTGTTTTTATTGTATTTATATTCATATGTACGACCAGCTCGAAAACTGTATCATAAGGTCTGTCAGTGGGTCAACTGGCGTGGTTTCCATTCCCCGGTTGTATGTGACAAGGGGTAGGGTCACCTGTCCAACCTCGTGGATTTTTTCCGGGTCCTTCGGTTTCCTCCCTCTGCTAAAGACTCCTATGCACAAGTGAATTATTGAAATAAAATTGAATCATATGTTAGTCCCGAAATGACCTAGTCTGTGTCGAGTGGACGTTAAACCGCATTTCTCTTTCTCTTCTCTTTCTACTACACCACATAGATTTAGTTGGGGAGTAGGCGTTATAAATCTACCACTGTACTACATGACTTTGATTGGAAGTAGGCGTAATATATCTACTGCATCACATGGCTTTGATCTGGAAGTAAGCCTTATGTATCAACCACACAAGATGCATCTGACTTACAACTAGAGTGGGTGGTAAGTTTATTATTTAAAGTAACATATCTTATAAAATATACAAAAAGTAATACAAACGTAAACGTGTTAATAATAGCAGAAAACAATTTAGGAAAATATTTACAGTTCTAAATAAGAATAGTTTCTATAATAGTCTAATGCTTCATAATATAGGTTCAATGAATTTTAAAAATATGGAAACTTAATATGTAATAAATGGATATATGAATTTAAAATAGCATCATATTGATATAGTGTACGGTAATTGCCATGATAAAAAAGAAATACATTTTTCTTCCGTCTGGCTAATGAAGACGGAATATAATTAACGCTTAAGTTACAAATAAAAAGACACTCTATACCAAAACAAGCTTAGTTTGATTCCATGAAAATACAATCAGCATATAGCCTCCTTGCCGTCTCACTGTACCCCTGATAGCGAAATGACATGAAATGGGTTTTAACGTCATACTGTTCTGCTCGAACTGGGGTAACGAAGACGGGCAAACGCCATACAGTGTGCTATGCGGGAAATTTTTCCCGGACAGCGGCACTACGACCTTCTCTTATATCGAATTCCAACTGTCAAGGGATCTTTTACGTTCATAACTGATAAAATACATCTTTGTCGATATAAATATTAATAAGATAATCCTCGGTAATGCATGACGTAACTGTAGGATTCTATTTAGTTTAAACTTTATGATCAGAAATATACAAAAATGTCGTGAATATAAACAATTATTTTTTATTAATTTCGCAGTTAGCAATATATCTGTGATTTTGTTTAGTTTTTATCTCCTGCTAGGTTTTGATATGGACTGAGTTGTTGATAAGTGTTGGGTTGTTGATCCATAGTTTGTTTATCCAGTATCTCATATGGTGATGATGTTGTTGATGTGTTGATATAGTCGGTGCTACTGATTTCTAGAACACTAGTATTAACTGTATCTCTGGTATTTGTGACAGCAGTATTAACTTGGTCATAAACATGTGGAGTATCAGACAAGGTGATGTTTTCTAATGTATCGCTGTCTTTAACTACTCTTTGATCAGATGCTGAAATACATAATACATGAGATGGTTATTTTATAGGTTGCGGTTATTCTGTGGTTACTCACTCCTATTGGAACAAAATTCATATTGGGGATGGTGAGCGGGTGGGCTGTTAATGGTGTACAATATAGAAAAATGTATAAACATCAAATTACTAACAATGATTTATATCTAAAGATTAGTAATTACCTTTTACAGATTTTATACCAAATCTCTTTCCATTTCTCTTCAAAATCACCCAAGCTAAAGCTGTAGCAATACCAACCACTAGAACACTAATTCCAAGGCCTATAGCTATCCCAACACCTAGCATGCTACTATACCCATCAACACTAGTATCTTCTGACGATACCACCAGGTTGAACACGGTCGATCTGGTACCAAGACTATTATTTACATAAACTATATATGTCCCACTATCATCTTCTGTAACATCTTGTATAGTTAATATTGATGATAGACCATCATCTTTTTGTCTTGTTCTAAACTCTATTATCGGTTGTTTACTACCATCCTGTAGTTGATAATACCAGGTATATACAGGTAGTGGATAAGCTAAAACATGGATTGATAATACACCCGTCTCTCCACGTCCTAGAGATATAGTAGTTTTAGTTTCTTGGTTGTGATCAAGAACCGGGGCACCTGAAATATAGCAAAAGGATATTGATGTCAGTTTGTATGATTTCTGCAATTAAGCTTTAATACGGTTAGCAGGTCTACGCAAGAAAAGTTATGTAAAACTAGAAATACATTTAAAACAACTCTTAAGAGCAATAAGAACAACCACCTCCAATCCCCTTTAACACAAATGGCTCTCAGATGAAACTAAACATGAAACGAACCCTTGAAATAAATACCTTGTCCGGGTGTTCTTGAACAATAACGTATACACTAACACGGCAATGTGTTTCCAGCATAGGTTTAATATCCGGGCATTTGGCAAAAGTGCTCAACTAGGCAGAGTTTATATCTTTCGATATCTAAGACATTCAGTAAATGGCTGAACAATCAGCAAATATCTGGATCACTGAACTTTAGTACCAAGAACATGTACTTACATCTAACATAGAGTGGAATAGTTTTAGATACAGGTTGACCAATATTATTACTAGCTGTACAGGTATAGTTATCTGTATGTTGACAAATAGCTTTAGGTATGGTATATTGACTACCAGAATAGAGTTGTTCCCCTTGTTGTGATCTAGACCAGGATATTACTGAAGATGGAAGACTGTCAACAGAACAGTTGAAGGTTACAGTAGATTCTTCATTTATCATGTTACCGACACCATCTGGTGCTAGGCTTGTGATGGTCGGTGGGTCTGTTTTAATAAATAGGAAACTATAATAATTTAGTTAAACCCATTTCAGATGTTTAGCATGCCAAAAGACCGCGGTCGTTTCCTGTGTGCACATCCATTTTAAGCCTACAATTCATGTTCTTATGTGAAATTCAGGAAATGGTTTGATTGCGTAAATGGGTTGGTGTTGAAGGTACATGTATGCACATATTAAACCGATATATTATTCTCTCACTTTTAGCCTGTCCACATGCACCTGTTATTCTCTGTGACTTACTACAACTTACTACTCGCTAACGAATGACGCGGTTTTCCTAACATGATCCATAATACCATTTTGAATTATTACTATGATTTGATTTTACAATAGTGTATATAGTTTGAAAACTTAAATGAAATACAAGCTTTTACAAGGTATAATGTTTGATTAAGAATTTGGCTGAGATCATTGTATCGTTGAAATTCTGATAAATCAATCAATAGTAGGAATTGAAACTAAAATTAGAATTGTTACGTAACAATGTGTGGTTGGATTCTGGAGCCCGAGATAAATAACCCTTACAAATACATAGATATATAGGCTGGGAAATTTAAAATAATTTATCAACTTACAATATACAATAACCATTAGTTGTTTAGATTGAAGTGAACCAGATATCTGTGTATTTGTAACGTGACAGGTGTAATTACCAGCTTGTTGTCTCGTGATGTTGCTCAGTGAGAGAAGTCCATTACTACCACTAGGAGCAGATCCTTTTTTCCAGTTGATATTACACGGTGGATTACAGTCAGCTGAACAGGTTACAGTTCTACTTTTATTTTCTATCACTGTTATACTAGAACTAGTTGGTGTAAATCTGATATTCTCTGGTCCATCTGTTAAAGAGTGTATTATTGAAAAGTTAAAGTATGGACATGGACCGAGTGTGCTCATGTAAATGTCATATACAGGATCTAATACGACCAACGGCAGTAAAGTAAAACGCAAATAAACCATGGCCATAATTTCTAACGTCGATAAATATTAGACAAAAAGAAAGACTGTTGTCTATAAGTGGTTGTGATAGGGTATAAAACAATTGAGTGAATGTTTTATGACTAAATTTAGATATGAAATGATTATGTATATATGCATTAGAAAATGGAAACATTGGCATGATAGCTGAACGGCTGTGAGTAAAATACAATCTGTATTACAAATGTGTTAAGTTTAAATGAGCAGGTATATAAATTACAGTTTGTTGGACTATTTTAGGTGTGTTTTATAACTGACCCATTGAATATTGATAGCAATTGAACATTGTTTTAATCAGCGTTATGTTTAAAAAAATATTTTAGTCGGGTAGAGTAGAATCGGCATTCAGCAGCCACTCGGTGGAATAAAATTTCGGTGTTTGCATATACTGATATCAAGCAAAATTGTACCCTTGTATGCATCGAGAGAAAATATCAAGGGGCCTACTCGCATCGGTAGCTATGACCGTCACTAAAATTCTTTGACTCAGATCTCCGATATAATTCTGTAAACGCGTCTGACTTTACCAACATTAATTACAACCTATTTTTGGTATGTATTCGGTAATAGTTTTCCATTTTTGTGACAAAAATCCATGAAATATTTTATCCACCCCCCCCCCCCAAAAAAAAGAAATCCACAAATATTTGAATCCAGCTTATTGCAACAGTCTGTCTCTTTGATCTGGGAACATCCCTAGAACACTGGAGAGTGGATTAAACGTGTTATTAGATGTTAAAAATATTGTTAATCTTCTGCGTGGTACAACTAATGATAAAAATATTCCACATGTGGTGATTACTTAATGTTTACGTTTGTAGCCTCTTTTATGACACAATTAGTTAGTCTGCTATGCACTGGTTAATTGAGCATAATACATGTTTGTGCGATATGACCTAATGTAGCTGGGATTGTCATTGTATACCTTTTAACACCATGTAGAGCTCTGGTAAATCCCGATTGATTTTTCTACGCTGTAATATATTGGTTGTTGACCCGGATGTGGATCAGTTATAATCTGGCATATACGTGCGATAAGGTCTAATCAAATGACACACTGCGACGAGTATTTTATGTTAGTGGACCGTGCAGCTCTGTAGGCAAACTATTTGGCCTATGCCCCTAAACATCCAGGAATAGAAAAGCAATTCCGCCCGATTTAGAGCATTTCCCCAATATCTTGTCTGTGAATGGTGTTGTTCAGTGACAGTGCTATAATACCACTAGTATCAGATCCGTTATACCAGTTCATTTTCCAATTAGATTGTAAAGCGAATAGTATGCTACAAGTCACACTTGTAAATATAAATGTTATGAACTTACAATGTACTATAACCATCAGTTGTTTAGATTGAAGTGAACCAGGTATCTGTGTATTTGTAATCTGACAGGTGTAATTACCAGCGTGTTGTCGTTTGGTCAATGATAGAAGACCATTACTACCACTAGCAGTGGTAGTATCAGCTCCTTTATACCATTTGATATTACACGGTGGATTACAGTCAGCTGAACAGGTTACAGTTCTACTTTCATTTTCTATCACTGTTATACTAGAACTTGTTGGTTCAAATCTGATATTCTCTGGCCCATCTGTTAATATACAAGATATATTTATATATGCAACAATTAATATTCTCATTCTCTTCGTGGACAATTAATCTCGCATAAGCCAATGAAATCATTATTTATATCAATTTATTCTTTTGTTGTTTAAGGAAATGCGGCATAAAATGATAGAATGGGCGGATTAATTTAGTATGCTTTAAATTACATTTCCGAATAAAAAAGACCGAAAATAATAGTCCACCTGTGTAAGCATCTCTAACCCAGGGAGGGTGAATCCGTCCGAAAAAATAATGGCCGAAGACCCCGAATATTGATATAGGTGACTCATTCATAGGAATTGCCCGCCTGTGTTTTATTTATTAGGAGTTAAATTCACATATATTTCAAAATATAGTGATACCTACAAAATATAAGTTTAATGCGTAAAATTTCACTCTTGTACTATTTTACAATATTCCAATTAATTGATGAAATACATTTCATCTTAACACACCTACGCTATATAAGTTTAATGTACTGTATAATATCAGTGCCCCGGTCATTAATGCCTTTGTTTTAAGATATTTGTTTTTAAAAAATCATTCACGTCATTATACTTTTTATGCTATTGAACTTTTTCCAAATGGCTTTCTTGTGGCGGCATGATGCGTAAAACTAATTGTCACATGAATTGATTGAAGTCACGCGTTATCGCCCTTCTACAATCTGCCTGTGAAGTGAACGGTTATTTTACGTGTGGACCATATTTATGCCTATGTGTACAAGGAAAGGAATTTGACTTTGTACCCTGTGCATGGGACTCCAACGAAACAATCCGATTAGTTCGTGAATTAGTTTTAATATATTGATTCTTCTGTAAATATTTATTATTACTGTAAATCTTCAAGTTGGCAAAGTATTGCACATTTTTTACTTCTTCTTCTTCTGTTTCTTCTTTTTCTACGTCTTCTTCAGTCTGTTGAGTACTGTTCTATGTTGCCCAGACTAGGCTAAGAAAACAGTTCGAATCTGTCTAGAACAAGCCCGTGCTTTACGTCTGACCTTCTCTTCGGGATTGACACCTACACTCAAGCTTTCAAGATGCCGATATGTAGAGGTGTGCAGCTTCGGAGTTATATTACTTCCGATTCTTACAGTTAAGGTTACCACGGCTGAAATATGGGACGGCTCGAGACGGGCAGTGGCATATCATATTTTTGAAATGTTAACTTTATGAAACCAATCAACTTACAGTAAACGGGAAGAGTTACAGCTTGACTGGTTGCAATGTTAAAGCTATCGCCACAGGTCCAGTCACCAGCATCAGTTACTTGAATGTTAGTTATATTAAGATACAGTTGTCTGTTGTTGCCATTGATACAACCGCATGTATATCTACCAGATGGTACACTAGATAAACAAGTTAGTACATGTCTACAGACTGACATACTGTCTCTGTTAAACTGGATAATATCACTGGGTACTAAATTACCACCATATATCTGACATGTAAATATATAACCCCCTCCTCTAATACCATATGATGTTGATCCTGATAAACTGTATGTTTGACCTGTAATACAAGGAAAGAGATGACATGCTTTATTTATTGGTATCACACAGTCGTCTTCATTAAACTTTCCATTTAATTTGAAATTGTGAATTGAGTTTGGACAGGGCTGGATTCACCATTAAGCCAAAAAAGCACGTGTTTAGGAAGGGGGCACCTTATAATTTCTGCTTTTTTAGATGGCGAATTCAAACTATTTAATTTAGAAATTAATTAAATATTTTTAATTAGTTTTCAATATTTTTTGTCTTTCCTTCATGTTACCTACTTTATCTCAATATATAACTTTAACCACGTTATGGTTTATTATTGTTTACGTTGTGAATTGTATATTATATGGGCACCGGGTGCATAGGGCCTCTGTAGGTCGTAATCCGGTTATGCGCTTGGATACTTATCTTCAGTCATAAAATTGTGAGTCTGACTCGTTATCCACCACGTTCAATTCGTTCCAGTGATAAGACGAATAGTTTCCAATTGTGCTAATATTTAGTTGAACAATTTCAACTAATGTCGGTAGTGTCTATATGTGACGACATGGACTGGAATTCAATCACAACTAGTATTGCACAGAATTACGGATACATCGATATGTTGCACGAGCTCAATACACAAGACTAAAATTGAAGTGCCGGCAGCCACGTAATTATAACTATAGTCCAGTCGGCTTCATATCTTATAAGCTTATATTACTAGAAATAAAATCAATCTTAAACTCATTTTTACGATCATGATTCAAGACACTGGTGGCAGTATAAATATTTCAAAAATAGTTTTTTTTCTCCTCCATTTTCTATATTTTTTAAATTAGGGTTTTGAAGTTGATCTAAGATCTGAATTTTTTATTTTAGCATCAGATTTTAGTGAATATTGATTTGTCGGCGACGGAAGAATTGTGCTACACACGGGCGTCATTCATTTTGGATCCTTGTGAAGATTCTCTCACTTCCTTACACTTCACCATAGGTTGATCAATATAATATTATATTGGGCTATGCAGGCAACCCGATTATAATGTACACTATATTTATAAACACCTGTAGTATTTGTATGTAATACAATGTACAATCTAGGACAGTATGTTGTTGTGTATAAAGACTATAGCGTATTCATATTCGTTTACATGATAACATGTAAACATGTCTTTTGAGATCAGTGTATATCAAATCAAGAATTATTTCTTATTACTAATGTTAATTAATATAAAATAGAGTTAAAAGCATATGCTACGGTACCTTATATATATGTAATATGTACAGCCAGTAAAACAAGCCAACAGTGAGGCTGATGTCCCCCGCCGAAATAGGAAAATAATTAGAGGACACATATAAATTTATCACAAATAAGCGGAACGGACAGACAGACAAACAGACAGACGGACGAACCCATTTTAATAGTTCCCTGCTTTCTTCGAAAGGCGGGGGACAATCAAAGTAGGAGAGTTATTGTTTTCCAAAGTCACGACCAATCAAATTGCGTATCGCTCTGCTTACCCTGAGCAGAAAATGCTCATTATCAAACTTAGTCAAGGTATTACTGTAATGAAACTATACACCAAGTTTCATCAATCTCACTTAATTAGAACTAAAGTTATCGTGTCCCAAAGCATCAACCAATCAAATTGCTTATCTCTGCTTACCCTAAGCGGAAAATGCTCATCTTCGAACTCCATCAAGGCATTGACCTAATCAACACATACACCAAGTTTGAACATTCTAGCTCAATTAGGAAGAGAGTTATCGTGCCCCAAAGTATCAACCAATCAAATTGCTTATCTCTGCTTACCCTAAGCGGAAAATGCTCATCTTCGAACTCCATCAAGGCATTGACCTAATAAACACATACACCAAGTTTGAACATTCTAGCTCAATTAAAAGTTATCGTGTCCCAAAGCATCAACCAATCAAATTGCTTATCTCTGCTTACCCTAAGCGGAAAATGCTCATCTTCGAACTCCATCAAGGCATTGACCTAATCAACACATACACCAAGTTTGAACATTCTAGCCCAATTAGGAAGAGAGTTATCGTGTCCCAAAGCATCAACCAATCAAATTGCTTATCTCTGCTTACCCTAAGCGGAAAATGCTCATATTCGAACTTCATCAAGGCATTGACCTAATAAACACATACACCAAGTTTGAACATTCTAGCTCAATTAGGAAGAGAGTTATTGTGTCCCAAAAAGTGTGACGGACAGACAGACGGACAGACAGACGGACGAACCCATTTTAATAGTCCCCTGCTTTCTTCGAAAGGCGGGGGACAATAACTATAATATAATAATACATGTATCTACCCATGGTCGACATTTTACTGTTCTACACGTACATATAGACCAGGAAGTTTTTAACTGGGGTGGTTAACTATTGTTTAAGCTTTATATGATTGTACAAGTATTGTGTATATGTATGACATGAAATGAAATGAAATAAAATGGGGTTTAACGTCCTACTGTTCTGCTCCTAACCTGGGCTAATGACGACGGGAATACGCCATACAGTGTGGTGTGGGGGAAATTTTGCCCGGGCAGCGGCGCTACGGCCTTCTCTTATATAGAATTCCAACTGTCAAGGGATCTTTTACGTGCACGCCAATGTGTACACGGGGCCTCGGTTTTCCGTCCCATTCGAACGACTAGACAGCTGTCCTTGTCAGGCCCTCCATCCTGCATTACTGACAAGGGGGAACCAGTGTATATGTATGTAAAGCCAATAACATAACTATAATATTGTAATACGTCTATCTACCCATGGACGACATTTTATATATATAGACCATTAAGGTTCGAAAGGGAATATAATCTTAGTGTAAGGACGACTAATAGATTGATATAGTTGGGTAGATAGTGTGTAATACAATCATACATGTGTGTTATCTGATAGATATAGTACACTCTTAAAAAAAGTAGGGAATATTGAAATGCAAATACCTATGCAGGTTGTGATATGATAAATAGTCATGAACACTTGACATGCTTTGAGAGTCTGTTCACGGATGAAGGGCTTATCGCCCCAACAGAACCGCTGAGCTGCATGTGCGACACGCAATAGCGCCATACACGTGGGAGGGGTTCATTGTCAAATTTAGCACTTCAAGGAAGGGTTGATGAAAACTGCCGCGTGCTTGTTTATCCTATCCATGTGTGCTTTCCTGTCGGTTCTTGCATAAGATTTACTGTTTATCGTATCCTTGCTGTAGTGTTTTACCTTTAATTTGCAATGAGACGTCTTCAACATGATGAACGTCTACGTGCTATTGGCATACTTCAAATGGGTTCTACACAGCTATCATTAGCCAACATGCTTAAAGTGTCACAGTCTGTGATCAGCAGACTGTGGAATCGGTACCATCAAACAAACAATGTTGATGGTGATAGACCTCGTTCAGGTCGTCCTAGAGCCACTACACAAGCCCAGGATCGATACATTCGTACACAGGTCCTGCGAAATCGAGGACAAACGGTCAATTAGCTTTCTGTAAACTACAGGAATTCGAGTTACACTCCAAACGATTTAGTCCAGTCAATCTGGGGTTAGACCCAAAAAAAATTGCAACAGAATTAATTTCACTGGGATGCATTTCAGTATAGTCCCCTAAACAACATCCCAAAAATGTTCCAAAATATTGTTGGTGGAAATGGGTCAAATTGCGTAATATGCTAATTAGCATAATTTCATATTTCAAAAATTGATTTAATGCTATAATTTGGCTATCAAATGTTCAAATTTGGTGGAAATTGTATCCAAACCCATGTTTTCGTGGCCAGGGACACAAATAAACACATTTAGAATATAATCAATAATTACCTGATGCACAATATGCAAATTAACAGCCGCCATTAGTGAAAAACTTAATTTTCCCCCTAAATCTCAAACTCTTTGACTTAGCACCATAAAACCAGTATCCATGCTCATAATTTCAGGGTCAAGGGTGCCAAAAAACACTAGGAGAACAGTACAGTGGTATTGCATAATATAGAATATGCAAATTAGACGCCTCGGCCATGACTGAAAAATACACTTTTAGTCCAAACTCAAAGCATTTGCAATAACCTGAAAAATCAAGTTCCCACACCCATTTTATTACTTTCAAAGAATTAAAGTAACAAAAGTATCTGTACCTCATTATGGAGAACAATTGACTGATTTCATTAGTACCAGAGCACTATTGTCATTGGGGTGGGTGGTGGTGGAGTTGGTCACATAGCCCTGATGAAAACAAACAAATTATCAAAAGTTTATCATCAGAATTGTCTAAAACTGGTTTTGGATGTCCTACAGCTATGTCCTTTGAAGTCTCCACAAGTATGTCAGTGCAGTCCAGTCAATGTTTTTTTTTTATAAGGGCACCAATCAGTGCTACACCTAGTTTAACAGTTACACCTGAACAGTCACAGGAACTCTTTAGGTATTAAGAAACCCTTGACGTTTATCATCACCATTATATGTAATCATTATAAAAACATAACTGTGAATCTTATTGCCAGTGATTTTATTTGTTTTAATAGATGTATAGTTTATTAATTGATGAATGCAAACTATAATGTATCTATACATTAATCATTATCAAAACATTATAACATAGCTGTTAATTTTATTTCAAAGTTAATCACATAAATAACCACAATTGAAAATTGAGCACAATGTTTATAATAAAATGAACAGTAAATTTGCAAAAGTCCTTGCTAATGGTGCTGTTGTCTGGGAATGCGAGAAACGCAGACATGGTAAATGCAAAACCACAGTAAAGATCCAGAGAGAAGAGGTCAACCAGTCCGGAAAAGTGAACAAACTATGCTGGTGACCCAGTACGTGAAATGATTCTTGTGGGTGAAAAATACCATAAATAGACAATCCACTGGAACTAAAGAGATTGCAGAACCAATTGTCACTGCTGCCGTATCAAAACTACCAGAAGGAACCATTTCCCGTCTTCCACCTATTAGACACCTCAAACGTACTATAAGATGATTCAAGACTACTACCAGGAAAGCTGGTACCT